GGAAGTGCCCCCCGCGGTTGAGGCGCCTACTTCGGCTGCAACGTGGTGGCTGTGGGACCAGCGCTAGATAGTAGAAAAAATCACTGACCTAGTGAGACGTAAGGAACCCATGCGACTTAGTCGTACCCGAGTCGAAAAGTACGGGCCGGCTCGCCGGCCCGGTGCTGGTGGCCCTCAGGCGACCCAGGCACGCCGCACCGGCTTGCCGCTGCGGACACACTGACAACCCCGTCCCTTGAATAGCGCCTAGCGCTAAAGTAAGGTACGTGGGGGATGACGGCGAAAGCCCGACCCAAAATCTAGGCTCCTCGTGTCCCTATCTACTAGTTCCGTCTAAACTGCGGTCGAGTGTGGTCGTGTGTTTCCACGATTAAAATTGCTCCGCGCAGCGCCCCCGGTGGGTAGTAACGGTTTTTCATTTCACGCCCGCAATTTTGCTCCAAAATTTTATTTTTTGTTGCCCTCGAATAAGTGAAATAAGTGCGCGTTCGGACCGGTGCCGATTTAGAGTCGGTCCGTTTAAAAACCCCCTCGTTGGGTGAAGATTCATCTTCGGTGCAGTTAAGTCGGTAAGCCACCATTTTTAGCGGCCGCGGCCGTATATTTCGCCGTTTGCTCTCGTACTACTTATATATTACATAATATATAATAATTTTTTGACTAGTTGTATATTTTGGTTCCGATCCGGCCTATTTTGGTCTCTTATAATTGCTGTCGCCCAGGCGAGCAACTTTGCTCCGGGGGACTTCGTCGAAAAACGATTCTGAGCGGAGTTACGCCCGCTCGGATAGTTTTGAGGTACCAGGGTCCTATATTGCCGTGTGTGTGCTCCGCCGACCGGACGTGCGTAGCGGCTCTTGTCTTGCCCTTTTCAGTCGCCGTTTCACCTACTACCTGGGGTCCTGGTACCTCGGGAGTGGTATATTTGGACTCCCTGGAGGCCAGGGGTTCGTAAAATCGTTTTTACCCCCCCCTCCCACCCGGTAAACTGATAAGGCCATAACTTGGCCCCCTTTGGGCCTAGAGACCTACGGCTTGTGGTTTAGGGTTCCCCCGTGTCCCCTGCTTAGGGGGGTACCAGTCCCTAAGCCCCCGCACCCCCCCGGAATATTTGTTAAGCCTGCCCGGTAAAGCAGACGGTAGCCAGCCCGTATTTCCCCTTCTCTAAAATATGAGTTCCGCTCACATTGCCTCGGATGAGGAGAGCACTCCGGACGCCTCAGTGACCCTGGATTCTTTCATTTCGGAACTCAGTCCCAGGCAACCGGCCACAAAAAGATCTGGCTCTACGGTTGACGCTGCAAATGCTCCCATGTCACCGGTTAAGAGGACCAAGGACGCTCTGTCGTTTATAACATTAATGGTAGGTGAAGAGGCCACCAAAAAGCCTCCTTTCAAAGTGGACGCGGTCAGAGCGCTTCTTGGTAAGGTGGGGGAGTTGCAAGAGTCCATTTCTGACTTGTTGGCCGCTAATGCCTCCCTTAATGGAAGGCTCTCTGAGTCGAGGGCCCAGAATGCCGGTTTGGTAGCACAGTTTGCTGCTGTCCTGAGCGAGAGGGAAGCCGCCTGTGCTGCCAAAATCGCTACCGCTCTAAAGTCAAGGCCGGTCACCGAGGTTCTGCATACTTCTGCCCCGCAGACCTTTGCGAACGTCACCCGTGTTGGCCGCAAAAAGAGCAGGTCACGGAGCCGCAACACGGCGCGGCAGAAGTCTAAGTCCGCGGCCAGGGCGAAGAAGCTTTTGGAGAGTAGGTCCGGTCCACCTGAGGAGGCCTTCGTGGTGACCCCTACTGCAGATAAGGATGTGACGGCTTGTAAAAACGAGCTATGGTCGGTTATAAAGAAACACAACTCGGCGCCTAGGATACACTCCATCGTTGGCAAATCTGGGCGCCTAATTATTAAGCCCCAGGATAAGGAGACTACTGACCTCCTTAAGAAAATTGGTAGGTCCAAGACTTGCAATCTTACAGCCGATACCCCTCTCCTTCCTAGGCTTCGATTTGATCACGTGGATAGGGAAATTGACCCCAAGGAACTCTCTGATTTAGTCGCTCTCCAGAATCTTGAGCTTAATGTCGACCCGGTGGATGCTGCGGATTTTATAAGCCCTGTGTTCAGGACAGGTCCAATGGAGGGTGTTTCTGCATCCTGGGTCTGCAGTATAAACCCTAAGTATTACTCGTCTTTGTTGGCCCTCCCTATTTTTGTTGGTCTGATGAGGTGTCAGGTCACTAAATTTGACAGGGTCACGCAGTGCTACCGGTGTTTCAGGTTTGGGCACCCGGTGGCTTACTGTAAGGAGGTCGACGCTGCGTGTGTTCATTGTGCCAAAGCCGGTCACCTTGTTGCCGACTGCCCTTCTGCGTCCTTGCCGCCCAGATGTGCTAATTGCGGGGGCTCGCACTCTGCCACTGACGTCCTGTGTTCGGCCAGAACGGCCTTCCAGGCTAATCTACTCAGAAGGACTGATTTTGGCGCCCCTCCTTCGGCCCCGTTATGATTATCCCCAACCATGTGAGAGTTGCCGTTAAGTGCGTTCAACTCAATGCCGCAAGGACCGCAGCTGTAAATGATCAGATCCTTCATTTCGCACAGGCCGCGGGTATAGATTTGTTGTTGCTCCAGGAACCCTATACCTTTCGGGGTAGGCTATCCGGCTTTGAATCGTCGCCTTTTCGTGTTGCTCTTAGCAAAGGGTATCACCGCCCCGGCTCTACTGCTGTCGTCCACAGTGCGGCTGTAGTCATTCTAAACCCCACCATTGTCGCTGTTCATCGGCACGATCTGTCTGACAAGAATACTGCTGTTGTGACCACTACCGACGCTCTCGCTCAATCCACTGCCTGGGTCTCCTCTTATTTTAGGTATCGCACACCTATGGCTACACTTGTTGTTGCCCTCAGTCGGATCCTAGGGCTCATATCGTGCCCCATCATCATAGGCGCTGATGCAAATGCATTCTCGACGATGTGGTTTAGCCGTTTCACCGATCACCGTGGTCGTCTGGTCGAGCAGTTGATCGACTCCAAGGGGCTGGTTTGCGTCAACAAGCGCTCTCCGCACACGTCTTTCAATGGTCGTAGGGGCCGTACAAACATTGATATCTCCCTATGCTCTGTCGGTATTGCGGATGAGATTGTAGACTGGGAGGTCATCCCCGATGTCACGTCAAGCGATCATAATGTAATTCGTTTTGCTTTCGGTTATAGCAGGCCCCCTTTTGTCGCCAAACCTTCTAGGTTTGATACTCGTCGAGCTGACTGGACTGCATTCAATGCCTTCCTGGCTACTGTCTCCCTGCCGGCCGTCCAGGATCCCAATGCCCTTGCGCTGGCCGTCGCTTCGACCATTTCGGCAGCAGCTGCTCACGCTATCCCGGTCTCTCCCGAGCGTTCCACTCTTAAACCTCCATGGTGGAACGCCGACGTTCATCTTGCTAGGCGTCTGTTAAAGGTCGCCGCTCGGCGTCTTAGGCTCGACGGCCCAGACGGTTTGCCTCGCTACCGTGCTGCTAGGAACGCCTATACGGCCACCCTTCGGAGGGCTAAGACCGACTCTTGGAGGGCGTTTTGCACTATCCATGGAGCCTCTCCATGGGGCAAGCTGTACAAATGGCTGAAGAAGGGCCCCCGGCCAACCGAATTGCCTCCTTCCCTTAGACGTCCGGATGGCTCATTCACTGGTAGTGTTGCGGAAACCCTTGATACACTCGTTCGGGTCCTTATACCTAGTTCCGTTGACGATTCTCCCCTACCCCCTGTCGCCTTTTTCCCTCCTCCTCACCCCATCTCCGAGGATATCATCAAAAGCAAGATTTGGAGGATCTCACCCAACAAAGCACCCGGGCTCGATCGAATAACCGGTTGCGTTTTGCGTCAGGCTTGGCCCTCAATGAAAGACCATATCGTTCGCCTTTTCAATGAGTGCCTCAAGTTAGGCCACTTTCCTTCGGCCTGGAAGACTGCCGATGTCGTTGTCATTAAAAAGGGCCCAGACAGGGACCCTTGTCTCCCCGGCTCTTACCGTCCAATTAGCCTTCTACCAACCTTGGGGAAAGCCTTCGAGCATGTTATCCTGGATTCAATTTTAATGGACATTAGCCCGCACCTTACTGGCCTGCAATACGGCTTCACCCGTGGCAAATCCACCTCCGACGCCATCAATGACCTGTTGTTGTGGGCTTCCGGCAGGCTCGAGAAGCATGTTCTGGCGGTGATTATGGACATCTCGGGGGCCTTCGACAACATCAGTTGGTCCTCCTTAATCGAAGACCTGGCCCAGCTTGGCGCTTCCCCACTGTCCCTTGCCCTTGTTCGGAGTTACCTAGCTGGTAGGACGGCCTCCTTCACCTATGGTGGCCTCCGTTCTTTGATCAGTCTAACTAGAGGATGTCCTCAAGGATCGATCCTCGGCCCTGTTCTTTGGAACGTAACCATGGAGGACCTCTTGAGGAGGCCCGTTCCGCCCTTCGCGCGAATTCAAGCATACGCCGACGACGTTGCTGTCGTCGTTTCCGCCAGCACTAGGGCCCAGCTCATCCAGCGGGCGTCCGCCATCCTTGACCTCCCCCTTTCCTGGGGCTCGGTCAGAGGTCTCACTTTCTCGGCTGCCAAATCAAAGGCCGTTGTCCTTAAGGGTGGCCTGTCCCCCGGGTTCACCATTCCTTTTGGTGAAAGCAGAATCGTGTCGGTCCAATCGGCCAAATTCCTTGGCCTCCGTATTGGTCACGACTCCACTTTCCGCAGCCATATTACTGAGGTCTGCAGCAAAAGCCAGGACCTCTTCTCTCGACTGAGGGGCGTCTTTGGGCATGACTGGGGTCCCTCTTGGAGGAACACCAACCTCCTCTACGATGCAGTTTTTATCCCTCGCATCGCCTATGCCGTGAGGTTCTGGTACACGGCTACTCTCCCTGTCGTAGTTAGGAATAAGCTGACGTCTTTGCAGCGCCCGGCACTCATTGGCATCTCCTGCGCATATCGCACTGCAGCTTCGGAGGTGTTGCAGGTGATCACAGGCAAATTTCCCCTCGACATCGAGCTGACATACCAGGCTGCCAGACAGAACTCTAGGTCCCTCCCGGTCATTGATAGATCGGCTTACATTTCTGCTGCCTATGATCGCGCGGTTGTGACATGGCAGACCCGCTGGGATGCCTCATTCAAAGGGAGATGGACCCATGAGTTCATTCCGGACGTTCGCCTGAGGCTGGTAACCCCGCTCTGGTTAAACCATACCATCACCCAGATGCTATCCGGTCATGGTCAATTCAATAGTCGCCTCCACAGTCTTGGACTCGTGGATTCGCCCCTTTGCCGCTGTTGCTTTGTGGACGAATCACCTCGCCACGTGCTCTTTTGCTGCCCTCGAGTTGCCAATGAGAGGGCTGTCCTTGCGTTCGCTGTGTACCGGTCTATCTATTTGTCTGAGCTCAACGCTCACTGCGGAACGAAGGCGGTTTAGTCCGCGTGCCATCCTGGCCAACACTCGGTGTGCGTCGGGCGAACATCATGGCGTAAGCAGGCAGAACAGGTGACGCACGCCGAGACTCCGTTCCGCCGGGGATGTTCGCTGCGTCCGGGACGCGTGTGGCGCCGATGCGCACAACAGCATCGGACAACCAGAGGCGCCACGGTGGCTGAAGCTCTCCGGAGTGGAAGCCACTCCTACTTCGACGGCCTTCGGGCGGTGCCCGGGGCACGGGTGACCGTAACCCTTATGGTTGCGGTTGCGTTTTCTTCCCTGTCGACCGGGGATCAGAATGCGGCGTCAGTCAGTCCTGCTTGTCGTACGAGGCGACTAATGGACGGCCCGAGGGGCCGGCGCCAGGGGCGCGAGCGGTCTGGGTCCTTAAGACCCCGGCCGCGTTTCTTCCCGGCTGCATGGGGATCAGAATACATCAGCAGAGTACTCTAATAAAATTAGTAAATACTAAATATTATGTTCAATTTAACAAACCGTGAACGCCGCCATAATATTATTAATATAATAGTAGGTACATGCACAAAACACACCGCGTTTCTCTTAGATTTCGTCACAGAAGTATTATTCCAATACCCACGAGTTTCAATAAAATTCACCTAAAGACCTTACACTAATAACTTAATGTAAAAGTTTATGGTTACACACAAGCAACCTCACACCGGTTTTTCTGGACCACTTTGGGAATACCCAACCGGTGGAGGGGCCGCGGACTTCGCTCGTTGACGGGCCACGGACAATTACACGATAAAATCAAAACGGCAAATCGTCCGGCGACGTACGCATTGAATAATACGAAAATATAATCGTTTCGGACGGTCGCGCAAATGAACAAATATATTAAAATTGTGACGAAAAAAAAACCACGTGTGTGCCGGCCAGGACCGAGTATCGAATAGGTATTTCCGCATACATGGTACTTACTGCGGGTTCGGTGTGTCAGCAATGCAATAAACGACGAAATCGCCGCCTTCCGTCCGCTGTTATAGACCCAAAAATAATTTGTCTCGTACGTCAAAAGACATTAGAGGAGAGAAAAATTAAAGCCGTTTCGGACGCATAAAGAACGTGTTCACCGAAAGGAGGACCAGAGCAAATGAAATAAAAGCGATAAGGAGGACCAGACGCGGTGCGCGCATTTATTCGTCGCCGCCGACGGCGACAACCGCGCTACAGTGCAGCAGCGGACACGAAATGGGAGAAAACTGGTCGCCCGCGGCCCGTACGTCATACTTATTAGTGTCTATTATAAATAATAATTAATCACAAATTGTACTTCTCGACGATTTTTTGTGCAATGTTTTCTACCAGAAATCTACATGAAACAAATCATATTGAACCAACGACGGAAAACTATAGAGACATACCAAAATTTTAAAATAAAATGAACGATAAAAAAATATTTGTGTGTTACCATAACTCCTACTAAAATAATCAATTCATTTTGGAATGAAATTTTGAATTGGCGAATTATTGAAAAATAATATATGACAAATGTGTAAAACCTTNTATCGAATAGGTATTTCCACATACATGGTACTTACTGCGGGTTCGGTGTGTCAGCAATGTAATAAACGACGAAATCGCCGCCTTCCGTCCGCTGTTATAGACCCAAAAATAATTTGTCTCGTACGTCAAGACATTAGAGGAGAGAAAAATTAAAGCCGTTTCGGACGCATAAAGAACGAGTTCACCGATCGGCGGACCAGAGCAAATGAAATAAAAGCGATAAGGAGGACCGGACGCGGTGCGCGCAGCTATGCGGCGGCGACGACAACCGCGCTACAGTGCAGCAGCGGACACGAAATGGGAGAAAACTGGTCGCCCGCGGCCCGTACGTCATACTTATTAGTGTCTATTATAAATAATAATTAATCACAAATTATACTTCTCGACGATTTGTTGTGCAAATTTATCTGCCAGAAATCTACATGGAACAAATCATATTGAACCAACGACGGAAAACTATAGAGACATACCAAAATTTTAAAATAAAATGAACGATAATAAAATATCTGTGTGTTACCATAGCTCCTACTGAAATAATCAATTCATTTCGGAATGAAATTTTGAATTGGCGAATTATTGAAAAATAATATATGACAAATGTGTAAAACCTTGTAATTTAATACATTTAATGTATTAAATATTTATTAAAATGAAATAATGTACTAGAGATGTTTATAATATAATAATGTTTTAATGTAATAATGAGAACCTTGAAATAAATTCTTTATAAAGTTATTTACTATGTGTAGCTTAGAAAAATTGTGTTTGCCATATTTTCATTCATTGGAAAAACGTCAGGACTCAGAAAACTTTAAAGTCAATAATAAGCACACTTTATTTTTTTTTTCTAACATCTTAATTATGTATGGGTAGTTAAATTAATGATATGTTTTAATAAATATTCATTCTTAAATTTATTTTTTTTTTCAAAATTATTTATATTATACAGTATTTATCAATTATCCAAAAATCTTAAATAATTGCAATTATCGTTTCAATTATTGTAATAATCAATATTAAATTAATATAAGATAATACTAATTTATGTACTCTAATAAAATTATTATATAATAAAAAGTCCCCTGAGGCTCAACTGCTAGGTTCCATAAATGAATTTATCAGTATTACAAATGTAATACGATTGGATAATATATTAAAAGGTATCTTTGTATAGTTTTTATATAGTATATATTAGAATGTTATGTTAATTGTATTTATATATAAAATTGAACTGTAAAAAGTTCATAGTTATAAAAATTAAATGTATCAAAATAGACAATGTTAACATAGTAAATGAGACTTATGAGCAAATTAGATATTATTATTGTTTACATTTTTTAAAATTCATATACTAACATTTTCATTAATTTTGCTTGTAAGCAATAATA